ATGAAATGGGAGCGGGTGGTACGCCTACCACGAGACATGAGAAATGGGATCGGGTTGCACGCCAGCAACAAGATGAAACTGAAAGTGAAAGTTGCCTTTATTTTCTTCATTTGTGATACAAGTTATATTGCTAGCTTCCTTATTATTCCCTATTATTTTCTTTTAACTGCTATCCTCGAAGCATGTTTCCCCTTCCCTAGCTTTAACTGCTTATTACTTGTTTACTTTTCCGCCATATATTATATAACTGCACAGGTTTATCTGGGGTCTGGTCCTAGATTCGTCACTACTTCGCCGGGGTTAGGCTAGACACTTACCAGCACATGGGGTCGGTTGTGCTGATGCTACACTCTGTGATTCTTTGCACAGATCCAGGTGTCAGAGTAGCTTACGGTGCGCAGCAGTAGTCAGGGAGCTGACCTTCAGTCCAGGAGACTCCGAGGTAGCCTTGCTGGCGTTTGTAGGCCTGGCGTCTCTTCTATCAGCTTTTCATGTTCTGTTGTCATTTGTATTCGAGACAGATTATGTCTTTTATTTCAAACTCTTATTTGTAGTAATCCTAGACAGTCTGTGCATTGTTGTGACACCAGGTGCTGGGTAAAGACTTGTATCGATGTTCTCGACGTTGTTTCTATATTTAGTTCAAACTTCCGCTATCTTTTATTAATCGTCGTCTTTTAATTGCTTATTCATATATAATTTAAATTGTTTAATCATGTATAAAAAGAGATAGGATAATGTTTGCAAAGGTTCTTGGCTTGCCTAGCTTCCACGAGTAGGCGCCATCATGACTCCCGAGGGTGGGAATTTCGGGTTGTGACAAGTTGGTATCGGAGCTCTAGGTTACATAGGTCTCACAACTCACGGACAAGCTCAGTAGAGTCTGAGGAATCGGTACGGAAATGTCTGTATTTATCCCCCAGAGGCTACCGAGTTAGGAAAACTTCACATTTGTTCTTTCTTGTTGTGCGGTTCTGTTTCCCCAATACTGATTGAATTTCTACTCCGTTCTTTCGCAGATGGCGAGAACACGCGCTTCCTCATTTACCGCTCAGCAGCCCGAGCCCCCAGCAGCAGCTCCCACTAGGGGAAGAGGGCGAGGCAGAGGTCGTACTAGAGGCCGAGGTAGGGGTAGAGCTCAGCCACGAGCAGCAGCACTAGTGGCAGAGCCTCAGGTTGATTTTGAGGAGGAGGTTTTGGCCCCAACAGTTCTGGTGGGCCCAGCTCAGGTCCCATAGGGGTTCATTGCCACCCCAGTTCTCCAGGATGCTCTGGTTTGATTGGTGGGCCTTATGGAGAGTGTCACCCGAGCAGGTTTGCTTCCTGTAGAACCAGCCACTTCTCAGGCTAGAGGAGGGGCTAACACTCCTGCTACACGCACTCCGGAGTAGGTAGCTCCCCAGATTCAGGTTCCAGCGGTTCATCCAGCGGTGGCAGTTCAGCCGGGTGTAGTGGCTCAGACCAACGAGGGAGCGGTAATGTCCATCGATTTTTTGTAGAGACTGGACATATTCACCAAGCTCTTCACTACTACTTTCAGCGGAGCTTCTTCTGAGGATCCCCAGGATTTCCTATGCAGCTGCCACGAAGTTCTCAAGAACATGGGCATTGTTGAGACCAATGGGGTCGATTTTGCTTCCTTTCGCCTATCTGGATCTGCCAAGACTTGGTGAAGGAATTATTGCTTAGCCAGGCCAGCCGGGTCACCATATTTGACATGGGAGCAGTTTTCAGTGTTGTTTATGGAGAAGTTTCTCCCCGTGACGCAGAGAGAGGCCTATCGGAGGCAGTTTGAGCGCCTTCAACAGGGTTTCATGATGGTCAATCAGTATGAGACCAGGTTCATCGATCTAGCTCGCCATGCTCATGTCATACTTTCCACCGAGAGAGAGAGGGTGGGGAGGTTTATTAATGGTTTCATTCAGTCGATTCGTCTTCAGATGGCCAAGAAGGTCGGGAGTGAGATTACATTTCAGGAGGCGGCCAATGTGGCTCGCAGAGTTGAGATGGTTCTGTCACAGGGGATGGTCATGGGTCGAATAAGTGGCCCCGTCAATCAGGTAGATTCAGTGGTACCTCGTCTGGAGGTAGAGATTTATATGGTAGAGGCCATCCTCCTAGGCCCTTTTAGTCAACTCTTCAAGTCTCCCATAGTACTTCAGGTGGTCGTGGTTCTTAGACACACTATTCTGATCAGCAGCCTTACAGTGCACCATCAGCACCTATCAGTGTACTGCGACTTCAGAGTTTCCAGGATTGTCAGCCCCAACAGCCGAGGGCTTGTTTTACTTGTGGTGACACGAGGCACATTGCTAGGTATTGCCCTCGAGCTTCGAGCAGTTCTCCGCATCAGAGTTCTCGTGCTATGGTTCAGGCACCAGGTGTTCCACAACCCGCCCAGCCAGCTAGAGGTAGGGGTAGAGGTGCTAAAGGTGGAGGTAGAGGTCCTAGAGATGGAGCCCAGGCCTCTAGAGGTGGAGGCCAGCCAGCAGCAGGCCATCCTAGAGATGTAGTTCAGGGTGGTGAGGGCCAACCCCAATGTTATGCTCTCCTTGCCAGGCCTGAGGCTGAGGCTTCAGATGCAGTTATTACAGGTATATTTCTGGTTTGTGATAGATATGCTTCAGTGTTATTTGATCCAGGGTCTACGTACTCATATGTGTCATCTTATTTTGCACCGTATCTGGTCAAGCCTACTGACTCATTGAGTGTTCCCATATATGTGTCTACACTGGTGGGTGATTATATTGTGGTAGATCAAGTCCATCGTTCTTGTATTATGGTGATTTAGGGTCTTGAGACCCGTGTTGATTTGTTGCTTCTAGACATGGTCGATTTCGATGTTATATTAGGGATGGACTGGTTATCATCTTACCATGCTATATTCGACTGTCATGCTAAGACTGTGACTTTAGCCTTACCGGGCTTACCTCATTTAGAGTGGAGAGGGACTCCTAGTCATGCTACCCGTAGTGTTATCTCTTATGTGAAGGCTCGGCGTATGGTCGAGAAGGGGTGCTTGGCCTATGTGGCTTATGTTTGTGATTCTAGTGCGGAGGTCCCTTCTATTGATTCTGTACCCATTGTTTGGAAGTTTCCTGAGGTTTTTCCTTCAGACCTGCTGGGTATGCCACCCGACAGGGATATCGACTTTTGCATTGATTTGGCTCCGGGCACTCAACCCATTTCTATCCCGCCATATAGTATGGCCCCACCAGAGTTGAAAAAGTTAAGGGAACAGTTATAGGATTTGCTTGAGAAGGGTTTCACTAGATCCAACGTTTCGCCTTGGGGTGTGCCGGTTTTGATTGTAAAGAAAAAGGATGGTTCGATGAGAATGTGCATTGATTACCGGCAATTGAACAAGGTTACAATTAAGAATAAGTATCCACTGCCGAGGATTGATGATTTGTTTGATCAACTTCATGGTGCCAAGGTATTTTCGAAGATTGACTTGAGATCTAGCTACCATCAGTTGAGGATTAGGGCATCTGATGTCCCTAAGACAACTTTTCGCAGTCGGTACGGGCACTATAAGTTCTTGGTGATGTCATTCGGGTTGACAAATGCCCCAGCAGCTTTTATGTAGTTGATGAACAGAGTGTTCAGGCCTTATTTGGATTTGTTTGTGATAGTCTTCATTGATGATATTTTGATATACTCCCGTAGCCGGGAGGAGCACGAGCAGCATCTCAGAGTAGTTCTTCAGACTCTGAGGGATAGTCAGCTATATGCTAAGTTCTCGAAGTATGAGTTCTGGTTGAGTTTAGTTGCATTCCTGGGTCATGTTGTATCAGCTGAGGGTATTCAAGTTGATCCGAAAAAGATTTAGGCAGTCAAGAACTGGCCTAGACCAGTATCAACTACAGAGATTCGGAGTTTCATGGGATTGGTAGGCTACTATCGTCGGTTCGTGGAGGGATTCTCATCTGTTGCTGCCCCGATGACCAGGGTAGCCCAAAAGGGTGCCCAGCTCAGATGGTTGGACGAGTGTGAGGTGAGCTTTTAGAGGCTCAAGACAGCCCTGACTATGGCACCGGTGTTGGTTTTGCCCACAGGGTCAGGGCCTTGTACAGTCTATTGTGATGCATCTCGTATTGGACTCGATGCAATGTTGATACAGGATAGCAAGGTCATTGCCTATGCTTCGAGGCAGTTGAAGGTTCATGAGAAGAACTATCCAGTGCATGATTTGAAGTTGGCAGCCATTGTTCACGCATTGAAGATTTGGAGGCACTATCTGTATGGTGTGGCGTGTGAGGTGTTCACGGATCATAAGAGTCTTCAATATTTGTTCAAACAAAAGGAGTTGAATTTGAGGCAGAGAAGGTAGTTGGAGTTGTTGAAAGATTATGACATCACTATCCTATATTACCTGGGAAAGGCCAATGTGGTGGCCGATGCCTTGAGTAGGAAGTCAGCCAGTATGGGCAATCTTGCTTATATTCCGGTCGGTGAGAGACCGCTTGCTTTGGACGTTCAGGCTTTGGCCAATCAGTTTATGAGGTTGGATATTTCTGAGCCTAGTCGAGTATTAGCTTGCACGGTCGCTTGTTCTTCGTTATTGGAGCGTATATGTGATCGGCAGTTTGATGATCTCCATTTGTGTGCCCTTAGAGACATGGTGCAACGTGGAGGTGCCAAGCAGGTTACCTTAGGTAATAATGGAGTTTTGAGATTGCAGGGTCGAGTTTGTGTGCCTAATGTGGATGGGCTTTGAGAGTTGATTCTAGAGGAGGCCCATAGCTCCCGGTACTCTATCCATCCGGGCGCCGCGAAGATGTATCAGGATTTGCGGCAGCATTATTGGTGGCGTAGAATGAAGAAGGATATCATTGCCTATGTGGCTCGGTGTTTGAATTGTCAGCAGGTTAAGTATGAGCATTAGAGGCCTGGTGGTTTATTTCAGAGGATTGAGCTTCCCGAGTGGAAGTGGGAGCAGATCACTATGGATTTTTTTGTTGGGCTCCAGCAGACTCGAAGGAAGTTCGACGCAGTTTGGGTCATTATCTATAGGCTGACCAAGTCAGCGCATTTCATTCATGTGGTAGTCTCCTATTCGTCTGAGGGGTTAGCTGAGATCTATATTCGGGAGATTGTTCGCCTTCATGGTGTGCCTGTATCTATCATTTCGGACCGAGGTACGCAGTTTACCTCGCATTTTTGGGGAGCAGTTCAGCGGGAGTAAGGCACCTAGGTTGAGTTGAGTACAACATTTCATCCTTAGACAGACGGGCAGTCCGAGCGGACTATTCAGATATTGGAGGATATGCTCCGAACTTGTGTCATTGACTTTGGAGGTTCGTGGGATTAGTTTTTGCCTTTAGCAGAGTTCGCCTACAACAACAACTACCAGTCGAATATCCAGATTGCTCCTTACGAGGCTTTGTATGGTATGCGATGTCGATCTCCGGTTGGATGGTTTGAGCCGGGAGAGGCTCGATTATTGGGTACGGATCTGGTTTAGCAGGACTTGGACAAGGTCAGGATTATTCAAGATAGACTTCGTACAGCTCAGTCCAGACAGAAGAGTTATGCAGACCGCAAGGTTCGAGATATAGCTTTTATGGTTGGTGAGCGGGTGTTGCTCCGAGTATCGCCTATGAAGGGCGTGATGAGATTCGGGAAGAAGGGCAAGCTTAGCCCTAGGTTCATTGGTCCATTTAAGATCCTTGATCGAGTGGGAGATGTGGCTTATAGACTTGCATTTCCGCCTAGCTTATCGTCCGTGCATCCAGTGTTTCATGTGTCCATGCTTCGGAAATATCACGGCGATCTATCCCACCTGTTAGATTTCAGCACTGTCCAGTTGGACAAGGATTTGTCATATGAGGAGGAGCCGGTGGCTATTCTAGACTGACAGGTTCGCCAGTTGAGGTCGAAGAGTTTTCCTTCGGTTCGTGTTCAGTGGAGAGGTCAGCCTCCTGAGGCATCGACCTGGGAGTCCGAGTCCGATATGCGGGACCGTTATCCTCATCTTTTCCCCAACACAGGTACTCCCTTCTTCTGTCTGTTCGAGGACAAACGGTTGTTTTAGAGGTGGAGAATGTGACGACCCAAAGGGTCATCACCTGTTTCTAATTGAAATCTGTGTCTCCAAGGCCCTAAAAACCTCATTTAGAGTTGCCTCGATTTGTGTGCGTAGTCCGAGCGCGTAGCCGAAAAGCTTAAATGTGAAATCTTGTGAAAATAGCTAAGTTTTGACCTCGAAATGAATAAGTTTGACTCCGGTCAATATTTAGGGTAAACGAACCCGGACCCGTGATTTGATGGTCTCGGAGGGTCCGTAGGAAAATATAGGACGTGGGCGTATGCCCGGAATCGAATTCCGAGGTCCCAAGCCCGAGTTATGAATTTTTAAGTGAAATTGTTTTCTGAAATTGTTTAAAGAAAATTAAAATGAAATATGATGTGAAAGTAATGGTATCGGGCCTATATTTTGGTTTCGGTACCCGGTACAAGTCTTATATATGTTTTGAATCACTCCTATAAAGTTTGGTTAAAAATAGACGTCGTTTGACGTGATTTGGACCCTAATTGGCAAATTGATGTTTAAAAGGAAATCTGAGAAATTTCATTGATCTTGAGGCTTAATTCGATGTTCATGATGTTATATTGGTGATTTGGTCACACGAATATGTTCGTAGGGTGTTTTTGAGGTAGTGTGCATACTTGGGTTAGAGCTTTGAGGGCTCGGGTGAGTTCCGAGTAGGTCCCGGGATGCCGTAGGCTTAAAAGATCAGATGTTGCAGGTTCAGGAAAATATTGCAGGCCTCTAAACCCTTTTGCGCGGCCCGCGAGGAATCGCGTGCGGCCGCGGTCGCCTTAGCGCGGTCCGCGGTGGGTGATGTGCGGTCGCGGTCTGCTTTGCGCGGGGCAAAGATCCGCATGTCTTCAGGAAGCCGCGGTCCTTTTTGCGCGGTCCGCGGAGGGTGCTTTAGAGGGGTATAAATACACGTGAATTTCAGTTATTTTTACACTTTTCAAAACCCAAAACATAAGAGGCGATTTTTTAAACAACTTTTCTTCTCGAAAACGATTGGTAAGTGATTTCTAATTCATTTTTTTCACTCCTTAATATCTTTTAACATGATTTCAACTTCAAATCAAAAAGTTTCATGGGGAAATTGGGTGTTTTGGGTAGAACCTAGGTTTTCTACAAATTGAGGAGTTAGACCTCAATTTGAGGTCCGATTTCAAAACAAATCATATATTTGGATTTGTGAGGGAAAGGGTAACCGGATTTTGGTTCGAACCTCGAGTTTCGACCATGTGGGCCCGGGGGAATTTTTGACCTTTTTGGGTAAGACCTTGTAAAATTTATTTTCATGCATTGGGGTTGATTCATTTAGTATTTATTAATGTGATTAAGTAACTTATGACTAGATTCGAGCGGATTGGTGGTGGAATCAAGAGGTAAAGCTATGATTGAGACTTGAGTGGTGTTCAAGGAATCGAGGTAAGTGTTCGGTCTAACCTTAGCTTATGGGATTAGGAGTTTAGTCATATTTGCTACTTGCTTCTTGTTGAGTACGACGTATAGGCATGGTGACGAGTATCTATACGTTGGTGTCGAGCATGACCGTGAGTCTTAAAATTGAAAGTTGTTGTATCCTTAAATGACATTTCAGATGCTTTAATTAATGATCTTCTATATTGAGCAAAGAACTGTTCTATCCTCGTAGATCTCATCTATGTTTGAGCATTGTCATTATTTGGGCTGAGTACAAGCTAAGTTAAGATTGGTTATAGCTGATTCTCCCTTGCCGGGATGACTATTTCGATATCTTTATTCCCTTGCCGGAAAACTATTCGCCGGGAGGTTATTATATATCACTTATGTTCCCTTGCCGGGATTTCTTGTAATTGTGTGATGAAATGGGAGCGGGTGGTATGCCTACCACAAGATATTATGAAATTGGAGGGGGTGGTACGCCTACCACAAGGTATTATGAAATGGGAGTGGGTGGTATGCCTATCACAAGATATAATGAAATAAGAGAGGGTGGTACGCCTACCACAAGATATAATGAAATGGGAGCGGGTGGTACGCCTACCACGAGATATAATGAAATGGGAGCGGGTGGTACGCCTACCACGAGAAATAATGAAATGGGAGCGAGTGGTACGCCTACCAAGAGATATGAGAAATGGGATCGGGTTGCACGCCTGCAACAAGATGAAACTGAAAGTGAAAGTTGCCTTTATTTTCTTCATTTGTGATAGAAGTTATATTGCTAGCTTCCTTATTATTCCCTGTTATTTTCTTTTAACTGCTATCCCCGAAGCATGTTTCCCCTTCCCCAGCTTTAACTGCTTATTACTTGTTTACTTTTCCGCCATATATTATATAACTGAACAGGTTTATCTAGTGTCTGGTCCTAGCTTCGTTACTACTTCGTCGGGGTTAGGCTAGACACTTACCAGCACATGGAGTCGGTTGTGATGATGATACACTCTGTGCTTCTTTGCTCAGATCCAGGTGTCGGAGCAGCTTATGGTATGCAATAGTAGTCAGGGAGCCGACCTTCAGTCCACGAGACTCCGAGGTAGCCTTGCCGGCGTTCGCAGGCCCGGCGTCTCTTCTATTAGCTTTTCATGTCCTGTTGTTATTTGTATTCGAGACAGATTATGTCTTTTATTTCAAACTCTTATTTGTAGTAATCCTAGACAGTCCGTGCATTGTTGTGACACCAGGTGCTGGGTAGAGACTTGTATCGATGTTCTCGACGCTGTTTCTATATTTAGTTCAGACTTCCGCTATCTTTTATTAATCGTCATCTTTTAATTGCTTATTCAATTATAATTTAAATTGTTTAATCATGTATAAAACGAGATAGGATAACGTTTGAAAAGGTTCTTGGCTTGCCTAGCTTCCACGAGTAGGCGTCATCACGACTCCCGAGGGTGAGAATTCCGGGTCGTGACAATATGAGGTTTTATTTCAAGAAAATCCCAAGTATGATCATTTAAGGAATTTTGGATGCCTCTGTTATGCTTGTACAATAGCCCATGGAAGAGGCAAGTCCGATGATAGGGCAACAGCTTGTGTTTTGCTTGGTTATCCGCTCCATCAGAAAGGATATAAGTTATTATAATTGTCCACATGAAGAGTATTTGTGTCAAGGGATGTGAAATTTCATGAATCACACTTCTCTGTTGTTGAAACCAATACATCACAACATCCTATATTTCCAAGCTCAACATTTACTACAGAATATACCTATTCACCTTCATCACATGATCAATCCTCACCCATTTCTTTAGAACTTGAAGTTTGTGATATTTTCTCCTCACCATCACCAATCTGTTCATACACTCCCTCTCATCACCAATTGTCTACTAGCCCAATTCTTTTCAGTCTATCATAGATACACTACACACTACCTCACATGTTTCTATACCCAAGCAGCCTACACCATTGAGAAAGTCAGGAAGAGTTTCCAATAAACCAGCCTACTTGAAAGATTGTGTATGTAGTAATATCATGTTCACAGATGTAGCAGCATCTTGTTTCACTCAACCAAGTAAGCCTAGGGAATTTTGTTTCTTTTCTCTATCACCCAACAATCAACATGTGTTGCAATCCCTCTATACTCTCATAGAATCTAACAACTTTGGATAGGCTTGTCAACATCCATGTTGGATAGAAGCTATGGAATCAGAGATTAAAGCTTTAGAAGATAACCACACATGGGATGTGGTTTAATTACCTAAAGGAAAAAAGGCTCTACCTTGCAAATGGGTATATAAGGTAAAGGATTTTGTCGGATGGAAGAATTGAAAGGTTGAAGGCAAGGCTGGTGATCAAGGGGATATCCAAAGAGAAGGAATAGATTATAGTGAGACTTTTTCACCAGTGGTGAAAATAACAACCATAAGGTGTTTACTCACTATTGCAGCCAAAAGAGATTGGAATGTGTGTCAATTATATGTCAATAATGTATTTTTGTATGGTGATATACAAGAGGAGGTGTACATGAGGTTTCCAGCATGCTTAACACCTCCTAGTCCAAAGCATATTTGTTTACTAAGGAAGTCATTGTATGGTTTAAAACAAGCTTCTAGGCAATGGTATGCTAGACTTATAGGAGCTTTGAGTTTTAAGGAGTATTCTTCATCATTAAACGATTACTCGCTATTCTTTAAACGGACAGGAAACCTGATTTCCTGTTTATGTAGATGACATACTGCTTACTGGAGATGACTTGGAGGAAATTCAGCATATCAAGGGTTTTCTAAACAGTGAACTCAAAGTCAAAAATCTAGGAGACATACATTATTTTGTAAGGACGGAAATTTTGCGAGAAAGGGAATATTTTATTGTAAGCCAAAGAAGATTTACCTTAGATATGCTACATGAATTTGATGTATCGCATCTGTCTCGAGTCAATTCTCCACTTGATCCTTCCTCCAAGCTTAAAGGTCATGATGGACACCCTTTGCAAAATCCAACAATATTTCGTCATCTGGTTGGCAAGTTGAACTATCTCACTAATACTTGCCCGGACCTTTCTTTTGCAGTCCTTACACTCAGTCAATACATTCAAAGACCCTATAAGTCTCATTTCTCTGCTGCCTTACGAGTGCTCAAATATTTGGGTTATGATCCAGGACAAGGAAATCTTCTCTCAGCAGAACACCCATTCTCCTTGCTTGCATTTTGCGATACTGATTGGGCCTCTTGCAAGGATTCTAGGAGGTTCGTAAGTGGATTCTTCATCACACTAGGAGGAGCACCTATTTCCAGGAAATCAAAGAAATAAGTGTCAATCTCTCTATCTTCTGTAGAGGCAGAATACTGATCTATGAGAAAAGTAACTACAGAACTTACATGGTTAGTTCGACTCCTTGAAGATCTCTCTACACCAGTAAGTCTTCCCATACCACTTCACTCTGATAGCAAGGCAGTCATTCACATCGCCCGTAACCCCGTCTTCCATGAACGCACAAAATATGTAGAAATTGACATTATTTTGTGCGTCAATAGTTCCTTTCCAGCTTCATTACCCTTTCTTTTGTTCCATCTAAAGACCAACTGGCGGATTTCTTCACAAAGCCATTTTCTGGGTTTCTCACTCCGAAATTTTGAGCAAGTTAGTGGTCACAAAGTTACCCTCCAACTTGAGGGGGATGTTGGGAAGAAGAGGCCATATCCTAATTCTAACATTCATGGAGATTTACTTAACTTGGTAGAGAAGAAGGTGAAGAAGAAGACCAACGTGCATAGCATATTATGTCTTTACCATTAGGGGGACATAATTAATGGGGTTAGTAAGTGTATTATAATATAAGGGGACATAATCTAGTGGGTTAGTGTGGGAGGAATAAATATATGTGTGGAATGTATAATATATATATATATATATATACATGTACAAAGAAAAAAATGAAAACACACGAAAGTTTTCAAATATGATTTTCTCATTCATTTTCTTACACATATAAACTTTATTGAAAATATATCTATTGTTATCTTACCATAAGAGGGGTTACTCTGATGGTAAGCAACCCCCACTTTCAACCAAGAGATTTTAAGTTCGAGTCACCCCAAGAGCAAGGTGGGGAGTTCTTGGAGGGAAGAATGCCGAGGGTCTATTTGAAAACAGCCTCTCTACCCCAGGGTATAGGTAAGGTCTGCGTACACACTACCCTTCTCAGACCCCAATACTATTTTAAAGCAATGTGAATATTCTTAGAATTGGCGTGCAATGAGTTAAACATATTTAAAAGAAGAAAAATGTAAGCTCAAAACTAATTAATAGTGAGCCTACTATGCTTCAACACCACATATTTTATATATCAATATGAGCAACATCGGTTATGGTTGCAAGTGCTACATGTGTTAAACTTTGTGCCTTATGTTTAAGAAATTGTAGCCTCCTCTTTTTCACAGTCGCGTACATGTCAAGAAGTTGTTATCGAATAAAAGTAGAATTTTGTCGAAGCTGTAGAGAAATTCGATCAACATATATCTTCCTTAGGATCGCTAAATAATCAACATCAATGTTATGGTGTACAACTGCATAGAAATAGTAGTTAATTGTGATAGAGATACATAATAATTATTGAAATCAATAAATTTAATTTATATTTATAAATCATAATTGCACGTACATGTACCCTTTGTCCGATTCAAAATTATGAGCCTTTCATCTGTGAATTTGAATGAAGAATATTAGTTGAATTGCACAAATATAATAGTATGTAATTTTAACACACCAATCGCATGTCAAATGTTGATAGTTTGATGTTTTTATTATGTAGATTAAAGAATGATTCACACAAATTAATTTTCGATGAGAATTTATATATTGTCTCATAAATTTTGAAGTAAAAATTTTCATATGAAAGAAAAGATAAAAGATGATAAAATTTATGAATAAAATATGTAACAACAACACGAAAGTGGGAACCACAAATATTTTGTGTGTGCTCAAGTTTGCCACCATAGAAACTTGTTGTGCACCTTTATAGAATATAACTAAGAATGTTAAAAAAGTTATAGTGCAAAAATAATATAACCGTTGAAGATGAAAGAAACAAACAATCAAAGTTGAATAACATAGAAAATTAAACTTACAAAATTGACATGCTACAAAATCACCAAAAACAAAATCAAACAAGCAAATAATAATAGCACTACAACAAAAAAAAATTAAAGAAAAAAAGGATTGTATTATCTATTATTTGTCTCACAAGAATGATGTAGCTATGAAGAATACTTAAACAGTATATACACAATCATCATTAACATCAAAATTAAGTTTTAATGCAAATGGTGAATTTAACAGTCATCTAAATAATAAGACATTAGAATTAGGACAAACAAATCATTTGATGTGTTTTCTAAATGGGGTAACTAATTTAGGCTATATGGAACGTAATAAGAACTTTGTCGTGACAATACCAAATAATTTGCAACAAACATATTCTGCATTAAGTACTATAGTGGTTAATTAGCTATGATCCAAAAGTATTTAAGCGAAGTCTATAGCTGCAGAAGAGGTTAATTAAATATAACATAGCAATAATAATACTAAATAATCCACAACAAACATTACCAGTAGTCAATTAGCTCTGATCCAAAAAGGACCTAAGCGAAGTCTACAATTGCATCATAAGCTATTTGAACATAACATGACAATAAAAAGGTTTTCTACAGTCCTAAAGATTCTCAATATTAACTTATCATGCTCCAGACTTTCTAGAGGATTTTCACATTAGTACTCTGTTAAACTTTAGAACTTTTCAAGAAAATTACATAATCAAGAATAATAGATTACTAACTATGATTCGAAAAGAATTGAAAAAAGTCAATATTTACACCATAAAATAAATTGAAACATATATACCCGTTGTAGATACTGGTGAGTGAAGACACTCTTTTGCCAAAAAAATAAATCTTGCAGAAAGAATACAAAAAAGGATAATGGGATAAAAATACCTTATTGTGCACTTATATAGTGTATGGTGAAGAATGGAAAAAGATTGTGAAAAGAAGTTACTAATGTTGAATATGAAAGATAGAAACAACAATTAACTAAGGTAATTTACATTGACATAAATAAAGAATGTAAAAAGGAGGTTACTATGGAAGATGAAACAAACAAAATATAAAGAGTGAAACTCAACAAATTCTCCATCCGTTACTTACATGCTTATCAAATATCCTTTTTTATTTTACCTTCTGATTTTAATTACCTAATGATCCAAATTTGTATTATTAAAGCTCTTAGAAATTAAGAATTCAAGAGAAATGGAGAAGAGGGAGAAACGTTTCCATTGGTAATTATGAGGAAATAATTAAATGAGAACGTTTGTGGAAGGAAAATATGAATGGCCTAAACCTCATTGAATTGATTTGATGAAGCATTAAAGTATTACAACATCATCGGCTAACTTCTAATCTAATTTGAATATTATTTAATTAAAGGTTTTTTTCTAAGGAGAAAATTGTAACTCAAATTTTAAAGGATGCTAGTATTAGTATCCGTACGATACGCAGACAAATCATTTCAAATTGCGAGTATATTGTTTGAATCATGTACAAATAAACTTAAAATATATATCTCTCAGATAAAAATTATATAACATGAGAATTTAATTATGAAGCTGGATATGAAATTATTGATCAAATCTCGTAGTAGACAACCAATCTTTATAACATATATTTGTAGCAACCTAACCCCTTAATTTTAGTACTTGCATTTCGTTCCGTTGTCGATATTAAAGAATACTAAACATGTCATATTGTGATCGGTCTTGTTCGAGCATATTAGATCATATTATTTTAACAAAATTCTTACAATCACTTTATTTTTATCAAGAAGTCAAATATGTCTTATTCATCACATCATTTTTACGTAAATTCTTTTTTTTGTTCTTTTCTTATAGTTATTGTATTATTTAATATTTCATATTATTATACCATCATATAATTTTTTTAGCTTATAATTAAATTAATGTCTTGCTTATTATCCTTTTAATAGTATGTGAAAAAAATAAATAGTTTATTCTCGAAATTTGATATATTTTTATGCTTTTATCCTCTTATTCATAACATTTTAATCATTTAAATTTGTCAGTAATATTTAATTATATTATTTTATCTATATTAAAATTAATTTAAAGTATAAGTATCCTCAGACTACCTCTATTTTCTTTTTAATATACATTCTCTTTCCTACTATAAATGTTAATTAGTTTTATATTAATATTGTACTTATAACCAAAATAATGTCATATTTTGTTTTAAATTATAAATTTTAATTAGTCTAAAATATTAATACATAAGTTATTTGATCATCATTTTCCAAAAGTATTGAGTTCTCTTATAATTAATTTTGTATTAGATGCAGTTAAATTTTCTCTCTTTTTTAGCTATAAGATAAAATTTAATTTTAATTTTAATTTTCATTATTTTTTATTTTTAAAAATTTATTTTTTATTAATAAAATTTATTTTGTATTTTTAAAAATTTATTTAATCATAGAAAAAAATTCTTAATTTTTTGATCACATTATTTCTAAATATTGTAATAATATTTTTAATGTCATTTTAATTCTTTACATAATATTTTCAAAATAAAATCTCATCTCAAACTCAAATAATTCTTATCATTTTATTTTTTAAACTGTACCGCATTTTCAAATAATTCTGTTATAAATTCAAACTCAAACTAACTGCACTCGATTCAGATATTAATCACAGAAAAATATTTTCTTAATTGTTTGAACATATTATATCTAAATGTTGTAGTAACATTTTCACTGTCATTTTACTTCTTTACATAATTTTTTTTAGTTTTAAGATACAAATTTAATTTTTGTAAAATTGCCTATATTAGAAATTTATTTATAATTTAAAATTTTATTTTTTATTATTTTTTTATTTTTCATAAATAAGACTTCAATTTCGGTGGTATTATTCATAATTTGAGCATTCGCATCGTAGTTTTAAGAACTTTCTAATCTTAAATTCAAATAGTCTTTTCTTTTCATTTCTAATAGTAAATTTCTAATAAGTTAACATAATTTTCCTATTTTTTAAATATAATATATAGTCTTATTACGTTTTATGTGGCTTTTCATTAACTCGTAACTTTTATTTAATATCATTCTCAACTACTTTTCTTTAATAATATAAGATAAATATATAATTTTTTAATTATAAAATAAATATTTATTTTGTTTCAAAAATACTGCTCGAAAATTTCAAATTATTTAGGATTTAATAATATTTTAAGTATTGTATAATTACTTTATTTTATTTTCTAAACTTATGATTTATAAATGTCCTTACATTATCTCTAATTTATTTTTATTGTTCAATATTTTTAGTTTTTCTCAAATTTAAATAAGTTTTACACTTTTTTCTATGATAAAAAATCTTAGTTTTTTTCTATTTATTCTTTATTATTGATTTTATATTATTCAATACCTAATATTATTACATTGTCATGTGAATTATTATTAGCCTGTTTGAATTTAATATCTATTTTTACCACACTCATTCTAATATAATATAGATAAAAATTAAAATAATTTCTCATCTCAAATTCAAATAATTTTTATCATTCTATTTTCTTAATTGGACCATATTTTCAAAAAGTTATGGTATGCTTTCAAACTTAAACTAACTAAACTCAATTCAAATATTAATCATAGAAAAATATTTTCTTAATTGTTTGAACACATTATATCTAAATGTTGTTGTAATATTTACGTATAAAATATTCGTTTGCATGATTTATCAATATCAATATGACTTTATTTTTCTTGTTATTAAAATATCTTTTGCTGATTATTTAATTTTTTTCTTACCTTATAATTAATTTGTATACTTTATGTAAGATCGTATTTTGCTGCTTGAATTTATTTAGTTTTTAAACTCAATAAATCTTTAATATCTTGAGTAATTTTTAGTTTTATTTTATATTTTAACTTACTCCAAAGTATAAATAGTCATAGGTTATCTCAATTTACGTCTTTATATATTTTTCTTCTATTATAGTTTTTAATTAATTTTTCACCTCCATATTTCTAGCTAACATAGAAAAAAAATCTATGAGTGAATCAATATATAGATATAAATATAGATATAGATATAGATATTGATACAAATATACATATAAATTTAAATATAGATATATAGATTAGATTTGTCTAGATATATTTAGATTATGTATAAGATTCATTAAACTTCCTCCATTAATTATGTTTCTACATATAATTTCTAATTATTAATATTGTCCTAAAATTGCCAAGTGGCTTCATTTTAGCTTGTCACTTAGCTTAACCACAATGCATTCTACTCTCCTTTTAGTATAATATAAATTATTGTAATTCAACTTTAAAGTTAAGAGTTTTCTATTTTTAGTATAATATGATGATTAACACTGAGTCCATGCCATCTTCTTTAAGAGGCTGAATATGTATTTGGCCTTTAATTAATTAAAGTAGTTGATTTTTCTATATGAAGTTTTTGAGAAAAGTAATATTCCTTCACATTATTATGGAGGGATTGATGTAAGCAACCTTCACTTCCAATCAAGAGGTTATGAGTTTGAGTCACCACAAGAGCAAAGTGTAGAGTTTTTGGAGAGAAGGATTTCGAGAGTCTATCGGAAACAACCTCTCTATCTCGGGTAGGGGTAAGATCTGGATATACGCTACCCTCCCCAGATCCCACTAATGTGATTATACTGGTTTGTTGTGCGCAAAGAAAAATAGGACCATAGTACTCGTTTTAATTAGTGCAACTGTGTAAAGAAAATTACTTTGAAACTTTTCCACTAGCAATAATTCTTATCTTTTCTAACTTTGTTGAATAAAGCAGGGGCGGCCTACCACTTATAGCGATAATTATAAAAGTGATCGATCAGTGTCCCTCTATGAGCCTAACACCGCGAATCGAATGACCATTATCCATTAGTAAAGAATCCTAGCTAAGCTATTATCCATAAATGGCCTACCACTTATAGCCATCCAAGGGTCAAGAATTTTTTTTGGCAAAAAATCATTAGGTGATTAATTTTTATCTGATTAAGTTTTCAATAAAATAGTTGAGATAGAACGAGCCAACTCGGAAAATATAATCATATAAAAAACTGAGAGAGAAATATTTTGTTGGACGAACACCTTGTCGACCTCCGTATAAAATTAAAACAGAAAAAGAATTGCAATCAATGGGTCCTTTTTCTATGGCAAAGAAGAGAGAGGAGGGACGTTTACCTTTGAGCAATAATTGGATTCAATTGGGATACTTTTTAGCTGTCCAATGTGTATATACAGTGGTCTTTGAAGGAATTTCCTACCTCTCCTTCTGTTAAAATTCAAAGAAAACCCATCTCATACAAACTTTTCTTATTTGAAGCGCTAGTAGTTGTTTATTTCTTTCTCTTCTATTATCATCACTTTTATCTCTTACCACAACTACAATTTATCCACATACAAGTTTTTTTTCTTTTCAAATAATTAGCTGAATCAATGGCATCATCTTTTGCTTCTGCGAGTACTTCACAGTTTCCTCGATGGAACTACAAAGTCTTTCTAAGTTTTAGAGGTGAAGATACTCGAAAAACATTTACAGGTCACCTCTTCAAAGGGTTGGAAAACAATGGAATATTTACGTTTCAAGATGATAAAAGGCTAGAGCATGGCGCATCAATATCAGATGAACTCTTGAAAGCTATCGAACAGTCTCAAGTTGCCCTCGTCGTTTTCTCAAAGAATTATGCAACATCGAGGTGGTGCTTAGATGAGTTAGTAAAGATCATGGAATGCAAGGATCAATGTGGACAGACTGTCATACCAGTCTTCTATGATGTGGATCCATCACATGTTCGAAACCAGAGAGAGAGCTTTGCCGAAGCCTTTGACAAACACGAACCAAGATATAGGGATGATGATGAAGGAAGGCAGAAGCTCCAAAGATGGAGGAATGCTCTAACTGCTGCCGCAAATCTAAAAGGATATGATGTCCGTGACGGGTGAGTTAAGAACACATAGTAATTTCTTACAATGAAAAAAACAAAGAGAGGTTTGCTCAAGTGCTAATGAATAATTTAGGTTGCGGGGTTCAAGTTACTATAGGAGCAAAGTGAGGAGCTCAAAAGGAATAATTTTCTTTCAACTGTGGTTGCTTATGTGAAGAGTACATATTTTACTGTAGAAAAAGAACCTGTACCTTAAAAAGTGAGTTGAACAGAAAAGACACTAAATAAATTTATCATATTTACAAAATAAAAATTAAAAGGTGGAAGCTTAATCAATTTATTTTGTTAAGAATACTGCTTATACAATCTAATTTCATTGATTATCATTTAGACGTTAAAAATATATTTATTTTTATTTTCCTGAAAAAAAAAGGAATGATGGTTGTTATATATGTTTCTATCAGTAGGAAGGTATTGTTCCTATTAGGAATGTCAAACAGGCCGGTCAGGTCGGATATGGTTTGGATCGAAAACGAGTAATGAAAAAATAGATAAATTATCCGACCTGACCCATATTTAATATGGATAAAAAACGGGTTGACCGGCCATATTATCTATGACTTCTTGCATATGACCAATTTTGGGAGAATTCTTAGTAGGTGTTTGAACATAAAAATTGTAAAATTCGAAAAAATAGTGAAAATGGTATTTGAAATTTAGAGTTGTGTTTGGACATAAATTTCAGTTTGGGTTGTTTTTGAAGATTTGTGAGTGATTTGAGTGAAAATTTTGAAAAACTGCAAAAAACAGTTTTTCAAATTTTTGAAAATTTTCAAAATCCATTTTCAAGTGAAAATTGAAAATTTTATGAACAAACGCTGATTTCGAAAAAAATGAATTTTTTTTTTTGAAAAATCTTCAACCAAATTGTATGTCCAAACGGGCACGTAGTCTTCCTAACTTGAGGAACCCCCAATTTGAGACTTTACCAATGTAAAAGTTCTACCCATTGGTTATTCATTTTCTAAATGGATAATATGGTTCTTATCCATATTTGACCCATTTTTAAAAAGAGAAAATCTCACTTTATACCCACTAATTTCAAACTATTTACCCTTTAATGTCCAGGCCCAAACTATTTACTACTCCTACCTATGCACCCCAAACTATTTACCCGCCTTTGTTATGTTCCTCTTCTTCTTCCTCATTTTACCTTCCTCCAATTCTTTGCTCAACTCCCCATCCATCAATTCTCGTTGGCTCAGTAAAGTTGAAATTCTCGTTGGCTCACCCCATCCTATTTATCCAAGACTTGTCCTAAAGTTGAAATTCTCGTTGGCTCAGTAACCTCCCATATGTTCAAAGATGCCCCTGCCTCTGGCCCTGCCACCATTCGCCTCTTCTTTCATGATTGCTTTATTGAAGTGGTGCTATTATTTTAAAGATTTATTGTTTGATTCGATGTGGTGATATAAAATATTACTTATAGTATCTTCGAGTAAGCTTCCTAGATCTAAATTTTTATGTACATTTGAATATCCACCATTGTTGGGCTTGAAACTCAATTTTATTTTTGAAGATTTCTTATTTGATTCAAAGTGGGTTCTGTTAAATATTGCTTATAGTATATTCTGGAAGTTCATACTGAAATTTGATAGCATTTGGAGCTGATTTGAGGTGATTGAGATCGAAATTTTCAGTTGAAAATCGAAGAAGAACAAAGCTACAGTATACCGTTACGACATACAATATGCTGTAGGAGTATATAGCTATACTGCAATAGTATATTATTAGAGTTTACAATATACTGCAATGGTATGTTGTAATAATCGAAGAATAACACAGTTACCTAATAGTATACCGCTACAGTATACAACATACTATCGGAGTATATAGTTATACTGCAACAGTATACTATTATAGTATACAATATATTGTTATAGTATATTGTAATAATATGTAATATATTGTAACAATATGCTGTAGTAGTATACAATAGACTATAATAGTATACTTATTACCCGCAGATTCACTTGCCTTCTCCCTTTTAATTTGCTTTAAGCTTTTACCCAGCGTGGGGGGCAAATTAAAAATGCAAATAAATAAATAAATTATTATAGTATGCTATATAATGGAATGGTATACTTTTACAATTAGATCCTTTTAGAATTTTTTTTATTGACGACTGATATTATTTCAGTTTAATAATTGAATTAATTTTTTTTTAACTTTTTGCGTACAATTGTATATCCTGTTGGTATAGTTATTTCATTGGTTACCTATTGGTTATCCATTTTCTAAATGGATAATATTGTTCTTATTCATATTTGACCCACTTTTAAAAAGTTCATTATCCAACCCATTTTTTAGTGAATAATATGGGTGGTTAACTATTTTTTTTTTAACCATTTTGCTACCCTTTAAGCTATTCACGTTTTGCTATTACCCCAGAAGACACTATAGTTCCTAACATTCTTGCATGTACAATATTTTGATTGGTACTTCGAGCGTTTGTTTTATATGCGGTGTCTTTTAATCATCTCTTTGCAAATTAACAATATTTAGTAGCTGAATTGGTTGGCGATTCACCTAGTTTGATGAGAGTTCGATTCCTCACCTAGCAATCTTCTCTCCCTTTCCCTTACCCCTATGTAATAAAAAAAATTATGAAATGCTTACTAATACTTGACTTTCTTATATTTATCCATAATTAATCTTCTTATTTTTGTAGGATTGAAGCAGAGAATATTCAGCAGATTGTCGACCAAATTTCCAAATTGTGCAATAGTGCTACTTTGTCTTCTTTGCGAGATGTTGTAGGAATAGATACTCATTTGGATAAATTAAAGTCCCTACTTAAGGTAGGAATCAATGATGTTCGGATCATATTGGGGATCTGGGGCATGGGTGGACTAGGGAAGACGACGATAGCAAGAGTCATTTTTGACATTTTATCTCATCAATTTGAAGCTGCTTGTTTCCTTGCGGATATAAAAGAAAATGAAAAAAGACATCAACTGCATTCTTTGCAAAACACCCTTCTCTCTGAATTGTCAAGAAGAAAAGATGATTACGTCAATAATAAGCATGATGGGAAGCGGATGATTCCAGACAGACTTTTCTCTAAGAAGGTGCTAATTGTGCTTGATGATATAGATCATAAAGATCATTTAGAGTATTTAGCAGGTGATATTGGTTGGTTTGGTAATGGTAGTAGAGTTGTTGTAACAACTAGAAACAAACATTTGATAGAAAAGAATGATGTCATTTATGAAATGACTGCACTATCTGATCATGAATCCATTCAATTGTTCTGTCAACATGCTTTCAGAAAAGAAGATCCAGATGAGCATTTTAAGAAGCTTTCATTGGAGGTAGTAAAATATGCCAATGGCCTTCCTTTAGCCCTCAAAGTGTGGGGTTCTCTGCTGCATAACCTAGGCTTAACTGAATGGAAAAGTGCAATAGAGCAAATGAAAATTAATTCTAATTCGGAAATTGTTGATAAGCTCAAAATCAGTTATGATGGATTAGAGCCCATACAACAGGAGATGTTTCTAGATATAGCATGCTTCTTACGAGGGGAACAAAAAGCTTACATCCTACAAATTCTTGAGAGCTGTCATATTGGAGCTGAATATGGATTGCGTATTTTAATTGACAAATCTCTTGTGTTCATCACTGAAGATTATCAGATTATTCAAATGCATGACTTAATTCAAGATATGGGTAAATATATCGTGAACTTGCAAAAGAATCCGGGAGAACGCAGCAGACTATGGCTCAACGAGGATTTCGAAGAAGTGATGACCAACAATGCAGTAAGTAGGCTAAACAATGCAAGAGTATTTGGTTTCTAATTTTCATATTCCAAAGACATATAGGGCAGTCAATTCCAATTATTTGTTCATCTTGCTTCATAATCTTGCAGGTACATCATTTTATTTGTTTACTTTAGTTAGTAGAAAAAGGAAAAGTAATATTAATTGCTTAATTAGTAAAAAAAGACATTAATTACCTAATTCGTTAAGTAGCCTCTTTAATTTACCTTGCCTAATTTGTTTTTCATATATATTTTTAGTGATTGATTAGTCTAGCTAGTAGCCACTGAATCTGTTTGATCTAATTTCATTCTTTGGACTACCTTGAAAATTTTATGACATTTTATTACATAATAGCTCAATGAGAGATTCACTTTACCATTATTTATTTTTTTAATTTAAAAAGTCATTACAATTTATTGGTATTGTTTCAATTGTAGTTACTTTTTATCGCAACATGAAAAGCTTATAAACTTGTCTCTAATGAACTTCTAAAAAAATGTAATATTAGAAAATAGAACTATAGAATTAATTGGAAAAGTATTTCTCTAAAGTAACATTAGTATTTCCTAATGATTTTCTTAACAGGGGACCGTGGCAGTGGAAGCAATTTGGGTTCATGATTTGGATACACTACGCTTTAACAATGAGGCCATGAAAAATATGAAAAAGCTTAGGATATTATACATAGACAGAGAGGTCTATGATTTCAATATTAGCGATGAACCCATTGAGTATCTATCCAACAACTTGCGTTGGTTTAACGTGGATGGCTATCCTTGTGAGTCATTGCCATCTACATTTGAACCCAAAATGCTTGTTCACCTTGAACTCTCATTTAGTTCACTGCGTTATTTATGGATGGAAACAAAGGTACAATAGTTAAGTTTTATTTTTCTCTCTAACTATCTTTGTCTTTTAATTTAGTGATGAGGAACAAATATTATTGCTTTTGTCACGTATTATTTGAGGTACTCTCTATTTTTGCTAGAATTACAGTGCATGTCTTTAAATGAACAAAAGTTATTAATTCCATAAGCTCAAGTTAATGTGTTTCCATCTCAAAGAAATTATTGTAATTTATATTATTTGGGGTTGTTCCCAGTGTTATTCTAAGATCTTTAAGTCTTTTTCTTTTCTCCAAGTCTTCCCATCATCATTTTAACTAATTCAATTATTTCTCATACCATCATCTGTATGTTCTAAACAGCATTTGCCGTCTCTACGGACGATAAATCTCACGGGCTCTGAAAGCCTGATGCGAACACCAGATTTCACGGGGATGCCAAATTTGGAGTATTTGGATATGTCTTTCTGTTTTAATCTTGAAGAGGTTCACCATTCCTTGGGATGTTGCAGCAAACTCATTGGGTTAGATTTGACCGATTGTAAAAGCCTTAAGAGGTTTCCATGTGTTAACGTGGAATCTCTTGAATATCTGGATTTACCAGGTTGCTCAAGTTTAGAGAAATTTCCAGAAATCCGCGGGAGAATGAAGCTGGAGATACAGATTCACATGAGATCTGGGATAAGGGAACTACCATCATCTAGTTTTCACTACCAGACTCGTATTACCTGGCTAGATTTGAGCGATATGGAAAACCTTGTAGTTTTTCCAAGCAGCATCTGTCGGTTGATAAGTTTGGTTCAATTATTTGTGTCTGGTTGCTCAAAACTGGAAAGCTTGCCAGAAGAGATAGGGGATTTAGACAACTTGGAGGTGCTTTATGCCAGTGATACTCTAATTTCACGACCTCCATCTTCCATCGTACGCTTGAACAAACTTAACAGCTTGAGCTTTAGGTGCTCCGGAGACAATGGAGTGCACTTTGAGTTCCCTCCAGTGGCTGAAGGATTACTGTCATTGAAAAATCTAGATCTCAGTTATTGCAATCTAATAGATGGAGGACTTCCGGAAGACATTGGATCCTTATCCTCTTTGAAAGAATTGGATCTCAGAGGAAATAATTTTGAGCATTTGCCTCGAAGCATAGCCCAACTTGGTGCTCTTCGATCCTTAGGCTTATCATTTTGCCAGACGCTTATACAACTGCCAGAACTTTCCCATGAATTAAATGAATTGCATGTAGATTGTCATATGGCTCTGAAATTTATCAATGATTTAGTAACAAAGAGGAAGAAACTACAGAGGGTGGTATTCCCGCCACTGTATGATGATGCACACAATGATTCTATATATAATTTATTTGCACATGCCCTGTTTCAGAATATCTCTTCCTTGAGGCATGACATCTCTGTTTCAGATTCCTTGTTCGAAAATGTGTTTACCATTTGGCATTATTGGAAGAAGATCCCAAGTTGGTTCCACCATAAGGGAACTGATAGTAGTGTATCAGTCGATTTGCCTGAAAATTGGTATATACCTGACAAATTCTTGGGTTTTGCTGTATGTTACGATGACATTTTAATTGACACCACAGCTCAATTGATTCCCGTATGTGATGATGGGATGTCGTGCATGACCCAGAAACTTGCCTTATCAGAATGTGATACAGAATCATCCGATGATTCAGAACGGTATACACCAATTCATTTTTTCTTTGTACCTCTTGCTGTCTTATGGGATACATCTAAGGCAAATGGAAAAACACCAAATGACTATGGGATTATTAGGCTATCTTTTTCTGGAGAAATGAAGAAGTATGGACTTCGTTTGTTGTATAAAGAAGAAGCTGAGGTTGAGGCCTTGTTACAAATGAGGGAAAATAACAATGAACCAATAGAACATTCCAATGTGATAAGGAGGAGCAGATCTGACAATAGTGAACACCATGACTCCGTGACCGATGAATCCAGTTTATGTTGCTGTCGCATACTGTAATAACATTCGAAACAAATGTCACATTTTAATGAAAGTAAGTTGCAAGTTTGGAAGCCCTTTGCTCTAAAGCCGGTGGCATTGCCTATGAAGAGCATATGTTTCCTTTGTTTGAAGCAGAACAACTGGACTCTTGTCCTGAGAAAGAGATTCGCGAGAGAACTTACTTGGGTATGCAATAATCCATTCTTTTTAAATCTACACATATCTATCCTATATACTGATCTTATTAGTAAAGGTGACGTGACACCTCTCTTAGACCAGAATAGTATTCTTGTGAAACGAAATCACATCTTCGCGTTTGCTGACAGATAAAAACCAATTGCAGATGAATGTTCGCGAAGCAAGAAAGCTGTGCCAAAATGGATGGATGAAAGAAGCCTTGGAACTATTCTTCTTTTGGAATGTAGAGCTCAACTAGTCTTGTATTCTCTCCATCAGAAACTGATGTTCACCTTTTCATTTGTATACTCTCTAACTTTAGCAATACACTTTTGTGTGGAGGTTCAGTTTAGTATAGAGGGACTAAAACAACATCATAAATATTGTGTTTTCTTTTTTCATTAAATGTTCCTGAAAAGGAAAAATTTGTTTCACTTGGAACTTCAATCGCAGAAGTACATAAGAGTTGTTTTTCCATTTGCAATGTTATCTAAATATGCATAGGGAAAACAATTCCAGGTGTTTGCATTTCATCAGTTAGTTTTTGTGGGGTTCGGTAGGGCGACTCTTTGACGCATAATAGTTGCAAGAAAACTCAGGCTGCTTCGAGTTTTGACTGATAAGTGCAGATGAAAAGCTTTTTTAAAAAGCATGTGTACATGTAAAAGAAAACTCAGATCGCGGCCAAAATACATAAAGAAAGGAGACTTTTTTCAAAGTGGTTAAGGTAGCTCAATTAGACTGAAAATTCGCGTGGTTTAAATTCACAACGAAGAAAGAGAATACGAGGTAGAGGAATTTGTCAACTCATCAGGCTCACGACCTAAAAGGCCATTTTATCGTCTACACAATTGATCAAAGGCGCTTTGTGATTCCCTTGGCTTACCTTTAAAATTAGGTCATTAGGCAACTTTTAAACATGTCCGAAGAAGAGTTCGGGCTACCAGGTAATGGCGCTATTACATTACCTGTGATTCAGTCTTCATGGACTACATCATTTCACTGATCAAGAAAGGCGTAGCTGCCGGAAATCTTCGAGCGTTTTGATGTTTTAAGAGAACAGGGCCCACAAAGCAATGCTCCTATCGATTCGTTCATGTTGTTGTACTTCATCTTCTAATTTGCACCAAGAAAGTGGAAATCAGTAACTTCTTGTTTATTGAGTTATGTCTCATTATTCAACCCATATTTTAGTGGATAATATGGGTGGTTAGCTATTTTCTTTTAACCATTTTTGCCACCCCTAGTCTCAGATAATAATTTGCAAAAGGTATTAACTTATCATTTTTTACACATTTGATTTCCAATATCCACTAATATATCCAATTAAAGATCAATTCCCTCTATCCCCTTCGCCAAAAACTCTAATGTAATATAACTTCAAACTTTTTTAGTCAGAATGATTCATATATTTGTAAGTTTTGATCAACCAAGTTATCGCCCGGGATAAGATAGTAGTACCATTCCATGATGATAATGTTAAGAATTTCTTATTTCAAAATTGAAAATTGAAAGCTCCATTTCATTTGTTGTAACACATTCTTTTAGTTTCCTACTTTACAATCTGTTTTGAGCTATCATTTACAAAACACTATGTCATAACTCAACAAACAAGAAGTTGCTGATTTCCACTTTCTTGGTGCAAAGAATAAGCTGAACAGAAACATGAAGTAATTGAGAGAAGCAATGCTTTGTGAAGATCTCCAGCGGCCACACCTTTCTTGATTAGTGAAATGATGTAATCCATGAACGCTGAATCACAGGGTAATTTAATAGGGCCGCCACTCGGTAGCCCAAACTCTTCTTGAGACATGTTTAAGAGCTGCCTAACGACCTCATTTTCAAGGTATGCCAAGGGAATGACAAATCGCCTTTGATCGATTGTATAGACTACAAAATGCCCTTTTTCAACTATAGAGGATGAAGATGTACTACAACTATCTTCATCACTAACATTTCTTGGAAATGAAATCCTTTTTCGCTGCATGGCCGCAAACTTCTGCCACCTCCTAGCCATTTTGATGAGTTTCTTGGCACTGATCATTGTCTTTTTTTTTTTTTTTTTTTTTGGGAAGATTGAAACAAGAAAGTAAACAAGAAATTTAGAGACTTTTTGAGGGTTGAATTGTTAATGCTTGTCCTGAATTGGTAATGAAAAGGTTCATGAAAGGGGGATTATTTATACAAGAAACAGGAGACGACTAATCTTTCTTTAGTTGGAGCTGAAGTTTTTGTTACTAACAAAAGGCAAAGCCATGTGCTGATGCCTGTTGATCATGTTGATATGGGGCCTTAAATTTGTGGTTGAAGCTAGTTTGAAAGGATGGAAAATAATAAGTTTCTTCATTTCTTCACTTCGGTTGACAATAGATTGGACCTATTAGTTATGATATCAGCTAATACTTAGACTTCTCACCAATGCCAGTACTTTGAAAAAATTAAATAAAAAATTTGTGGTAACAGGCAAAAACCATGTGCTACTCCTTTCTTTGTCGTGTAGATTAGGGATATGATCTTTAAATTGTCATCTTGTCTAGTCCTATTCTGCTTTTGTTATAACAAAGTTTTTGCGCTTGAGTAACACTGTTGACAGATTTTACTCAAAAGATACGTTAGCAGTAAGAAAACTGAACCATTTTTTGGTTAATTGTATCAAAACAAACTAAGCGATTCAGCAACCAAAGAAATTAGTCGTTTGCAGTTAATTCAGAAGTCTTTTTTCTTTGCTTTTTTTCTTCTTTTTGGTGGACATGGGAAGAAGGATAAAAAAATCATTTGTCACAAAATAGTGTAGTTTATGGTTCGGCCCTTTCCCGGACCCCGCGCATAGCGGGAGCTTAGTGCATCGGGCTACCCTTTGAATGTGTAAGAAAATGAAGGATATTGATAAATAAAAAGATATCACAGATTCGTCGAGAAACAAAAACTGTGATATTAACCAGTGCAAAATACAGCTTAAAGTCTTCTATTTGAAGTATTATGCTTCTTGACTTTTGTTTCTATTATGCAGGAGATAATAAATAGCAGCAACTTCTATTATGCTTCTTGACTTTTGATAGCTAAATAATAATAGTACAAAAGTCCACCTTTGAACCAACTTTGATTTTTATCTTATTTGAAAAAATGGTTTAATGCAGCTTTGACATAACTTTCTTATGAATTAGAACTACAGAAAATTGGATATTCTGGGGGTCCAATCTACTTAATTCAGAACCCTATTATATTATGGTAGTTTATCTATCAGTCAAAATCAAAATACTGGAGCCCGCGCGAGTCTATTTTTGCTTACTGATTGTTCTGTGGATACTTTTGAGGCCAATCTCAAAATTGACAACATAAAATATGATCATACTTCTCTGTTATTCATTGGTTGCTATATATTCTCATAGTTAATGGAGTTCAATTTTAATTCATAGGACTACTAGAAAGCAACTGAAAGAAATCAGATATAATCACAAAGTTAAAGAGTGTTGACAAGAATATGGAGTTTTGATGAATAATTAGATGTTGAATGTTCTGTAAACTTGTTGAATATCATGTATCCATTACAAAACATTAAGGTCAACAAACTAGCAATTCCGGGTTTCTTAGTTCTTGAACGTATGAAGCTGATGAGCATCGACTGGAAGCTATTGATACAAGCAACGCATTCTGAAGATCTACAGCTACACCTCTTTCCATGAGTGATATGACGTAGTTCATGAATATGGAATCACACGGTAATGTAATAGGGCCATCACTCGGAAGTCCAAACTCTTCTTCAGACATGTGAAACAGTTGTCTGATTACCTCGTGTTGTAGATAAGCCAAAGGAACTACAAATCGCTTTTGATCAGTTGTATACACCACACAATGCCCTTTGCCAACTATAGAATAAGATGTACTACAACACTCTGCGTCATGGGTATTGGATCTTGGAAAAGAAATTCTCTTCCTTTGCTTGACCGCAAGCTTCTGCCATTTCCTTGCGATCTTGATGAGTTTCTTAACACTGATCATGTTGATTTCTTTGGTTTATAGTAAAGAAAATATTGTTCGAGTTTTTAGAAGGTTTGATTAAGTTCTATCTGCTCGATGATCAAAATGTCTTATGGAAGCAGTTTATTTATAGCTGAGGCTAGAGTTATGACTTTGAAAATTATAGCTCTAGTTGTCAATCTGAATTAGGTATTGAAGGCAAAAACATGTGCTGATGTATAATATGGGACCTTAGAAATTGTGGAAATGGCTGGTTGTCTTGTTTTAAGTAAAGAGGTTGATGCATATATTGAATTATTTGTCACTATATCTTTAAACCAAGTGGTCCAAGACTAAGTCATCAACTACATCTATATACTCTTGTGGATTTTATTTTAAGGGTACCTTTTGTTCCAAATCATAAGAAACAGTAGGGCCTAATGTTGTTGTTCCACAAAATTTGTGGTCTGATTACTTTGACATTAACAGAGTAAGCAAAACCATGTGAAACTTCAAGTACTGTTGTCTCTCAAATTTCTCTTCACCAAAAAAACATTAAGTATATGTGACTTACCATTAGCTTATATATATATTATATTAATACACAAAGCATTTGAGCAGAACACAAATATCCAAACACTCAAAGAACATCCATTTTTGGTGCAATTCTCAAAACTCTTGTTCTTTTTTTTTTCTTCATCATTTAGAGTTACATCATATTTTTTGAGACAATGGGTATCAAAGTGACTCCATTTATTCAGGCTAATCGAATCCTAAGGAGGTCATCAATCTCCGAAGGTGTTCCAAAAGGACATTGTGCAGTATATGTAGTAGAGAGCCAAAAGAAACTATTCATTGTGCCAGTATCATACTTGAGGCCGCCTTTATTTCAAGACTTGTTGGCTCAAGCTGAAGAAGAGTTTGACTTTGATCATCCGATGGGCGGTCTCACAATACCTTGCAATGAGGATGTGTTCGTTGATCTCACTTCCGGCTTGAGGATATTATGAGTAAGACAATGGTGCAGATTCTTCTGCCCATGAGATTTTGTAAAGCAGGATTAGAAATGAGAGAGTAGATTGTAGAGAGAGGTCATTTTCATTGTATAGAACATTCCCAGTGTACATTTCTTTCAACACTGGGCAATGTATAGCCTTTCTTCTTCTTGTTTTTTTTCATTCTTTCCATCAAACAAGTAAATGGACTTTGAATTCTGAAAGGAATATCTAAAGCTTTCTAGTGCATATATTTGATCATACCAAATACCCAATTTTGGTGTTCCATAGTATTAAATTCTAGGGAGAATGACACAGTTACCCACAAAAACAAAACTATTTACCCTTGTTTACCTATTTGTTTTCCTGCCCATCAAACTAATTATATTTCCTATCCATAACAGTTTTTGTGGAGAGTTTTTCTTTTTTCTCCAATTCTTTTTTATTCCTATGTTTATTTCCTTTTTCCCTTTTTAATTTCAATTAACTTCTTTTTTTATATTCTTTTTTCTCTTCATAATCTATTATTTATTGTTTTCACTATTTTTATTATTCTTTTTTTTTACAATAAGAAAAAATAACTGATATTGTTACTATTTGTTCACCTTTTTTTAATATAACTAGTACAATATACCTTCTTTTTTCTTTCTCATTTTCTAAATTCAATTTTCAAACTGAAATAATATCAGTTGTCACTTGATCTAATTCACTGAATATCACACTGACTGCTACTAAGCACCATAAATTACATAATCAGATTCTAAGAATCAACACGTGAATGCCATGTAAACCTTGATCACCTTCCCTACAAATATCATTACACACTCTACCATTAGCAGTAATACAACCAGCTATAGAGCAAGAAAACATAATCTACAGCAACCAAATCTCCATATATACTAGTTAGAATAAAAATGATAATAAAATATTAAAAAAATACAATAAAAGTATAAGTAGCAAAAAAGACTTCCTGTACCATGTAATACCAATATGGTATATATGTATATCAACAGAGCATATGATTGCTCTAGAATATTGCTACAACTACCTGCAACTATACTACTGTACCAAAATATTAAAGGACGCAATAAAATAATGAGAAAATTATATGCTCATATTGCAAGCTAAATATTCGCAAAACAACTTGCTCATTCCATATACTAACATGGTATATAGTTGTATGGGGTCGTTCCAACAATTGTCTATAATTATAAAACTATTACATAATACACATAATTTATGTTCATCGGCACACAAAAATTTCAGCACTGCAAATCATGTTCATATAAATAATTTCATAATAGAATTCACTTAAAATGCAGCTAAAACAATCAAAACAATGTTCAAACTACCATATGATACCAATATGACATATAACTATAGCAACATGGTATACAACTTTACTGGTTAATTTCCGGCAACTATATGACTATACTACCATTACATAACACACACGCATAAAGAGAAAAATAAAAAAATAGCGTACCACATATTAATATAATAAAGTATTTCAAGAAATTGTACTATATTACTATTATTAAAAGAAAATCAAATATTGTACCAATTAAATGCAGCTAATACAACCATAAAAAGATTCAACTAGCATATGATACCAATATAGTATATAACTATACTAATAGGGTATATAGTTGGAATGAATTGTATACCAAAATAGTATATTTGTATACTATTTGGGTATACAATACAAATTCGTCATCTTCTCTGGTTCAACTATATTTCAACCCAAATTTCTAAAATCTACTACAAAATCTCCATCAAATTGACTAAAACTTTAGCTACAACCTCCAATTAACTTTCCAAACAAACCCAAACAGGATCGGATCAAAACAATTAAAAACTCAAACAAACCAAGTTATGAGTTTCAAGTTTTAAGATCCTTCAATGATGGATTTAATTTTCTCACAATAAAATCTTTGAAATTAGCATTAACATCATAATCAAAGAACAATACCCAATAAATTCTAACACCAAATACTTCAACACACATGAAAATTCAAATTTTAGTTAGATAGTACATATTATTTTTTGTTTTACTTTTAGAAGATAAAATAAACTATGGAGCACAAATAAAAAAAAGGGGGGTGATGATAGCAGAAAAAAGTACGATACTAACAACACTGTTCACTATTGAGAAAAGCTAACTATTCTTTGGCTTCTTTTTAGGATTCACACTTTTGCTGCTTAAATTAGATATGTCCATCGCACGCGAGAATTGGGTTGGGCGGGTAATTAGTTGTAATAGAATAAGTATTGATGTAATTACTTTTAAAATGGGTAATTACGGGTAATTATTTTTGATTAGATAGGTATATAGGGTATTTTTCCCTAAATTCTATACATTCAAAAAAATTAGTCCAAAAAAAAAAAAACAAGTGAGATTTGCAGCTTCTTTTCAATCTAGATTTATAAAGTATGAAACTTTAAATGCAAAAAAGTTTGGAAGAGGAACACTTTATAATTTCACCTCAATTAAACTCTTTACAATTAATTTTCATGTCATTTAGGCATGTAAATTAACATAGATTTATGATAAATTTACATAAATACAAAATAAAGTTAACACTAATAGTTTAAAATTAATGTGCGACAGAAAAATCAAATTTGTAGGATGCGAATATAAAAATGAGTCCTGTAAGTCACATTTTTAAAATGCGACTTATAAATCGTTTTTGTCTATTGCGATTATGCATAAGATTTTTACCCACCTGGAACTGTGTACAGTGACGAAAAAGTAGGATTGTTCAATCATTTTCGTTATTTTGCGAAGAGTTAAGTAGTAACTGTTTTATTATGCTCTGTTTGGTTGCACGATTAGAAACTTCCTACCGTTAAGCTCTTTAGGTAATTTTGGTTGATTTATGAACTCTTTTTTTGTGTGGTTATTTTCAAGTGTTATGTCTCCTATCTAAATGTTAAGAAAGTGAAATATTTTGCTTTGACTTTTTTGTGTTAGTGTTATTATACAGTGCAATGTGTAAAGTTTTCCCTACTTTTTCTGGAGTTATGTCCTTAAAAAAGAAGAATGAATGAAGAAGAAAAAAATTCTTGTCTACTAATTGGATTTCATCAACTTTAAAATTTAGCCACTATTCCAATGCAATAGGAAATTACTTACCAATATGATTTTAAGATTTAAGTTATGTATACTGGCAGTGTAATGAATTTTTTACACAATCTGTATAGTTTAACATGTTGAAGCAAATTACTTATGATTTATTCTAGATCACCAATCAATGTTATTAAATAGAGTTACCTGCAGCTACCTTTTAAGTTTAACGTTCTTAGTGCATAGAACTTAAACTCATAATTTGGGACTAGTTCAAGATAATGAATGGTATAGATCTGGTTAAGTTCAGGATGAAGCTCTATTCCATCTTTCACTTGCCTATTTTTCAATTGCTATACAATCTATTTTGAGCTACATTTACAAAACATGATAGTCATAACTCAATAAACAAGAAGTTGTTGGTGCAAATTAGAAGTTGAAGTATAGCAACATGAAGAAATCGATAGGAGCAATGATTTGTGAAGATCTCCAGCAGTTACGCCTTTCTTGACTAGTGAAATGACGTAGTCCATGAAGTCTGAATCACAGGGTAATGTAATAGGACCGCCACTTGGTAGCCCGAACTCTTCTCCAGACATGTTAAAAAGTTGCCTAATGACCTCATTTTCAAGATAAGCTAATGGAATGACGAAGCGAGTTTGATCAGCTGTATATACTACAAATTGGCCTTTCTCAACTACAGAAGATGAGGATGTACTACAAGTGTCTGCATCACTGGCATTTCTTGAAAATGAAATTCTCTTCCTCTGCTTGGCCGTGAACTTTTTCCATCTCCTAGCCATCTTGATGAGTTTCTTAGCACTTATCATCGTCATTTCTCTGGAAGGTAGGAAACGAGAAAGCAAACTCTATAGACACCTTTGATGACTTAATTGATATTGCTTGTTTTATGATGAAAGGGCTCATGGAAAAGGAGATATATATATATATATACACACACACAAGAGAGGCTGTAGACAGGCTTTGAGTTGGAGCTGAAGTTTTGTGAAGGCAAAGCCATGTGTTGATGCCTGTTGGTCATGTATATATGGGGCCTTAAATTGGTGAAAAATTCCTCTCTTCATTTTGGTAGACAACAACTTGGACCTATTAGTTAGGCTATCAGCTTAAACATGGGACTTCTGGCAAAATGCCAATAATTTTAATACCATTAATGAATGAAGAATTGCTGGTAGAAGAACAAACCATGTGCTAAGGGATCTTTAAATTGTCATCTTGGCTGGTTTTTCTTTATATAAAAACCATTGCATTAAATGTGATTAAAACCAGTACAACATATTTGATCACTCACTACTAGCTAGTGGAATGCAGGATTTAGAAGAACCTGATCCAATATGAATAGTAGTGCTGAACTGGTACTTCTGACCTTTAGTTTTGTTAAATGGAAAATACAGGCTAAAGTCTTCTATTTGAAGAGTCATGGTTCTTGACTTTTGTTTGATTGATATAAAAAGGGCAGCCCGGTGCACTAAGCTCTATGTGGGGTCCGGAAAAGGGCCGCACTACAAAGGTTTATTGTATGCAGTCTTACCCTACATTTCTGCAAGAAGCTGTTTCCACGGCTTAAATCCGTGATTCATGGTCACATGCCAGCAACTTACGAGGAATAAGACCCTTTGTCCCCTCCAGGCAAACATTTATACTCTCTCCGTTTCAATTTAGATGATATAGCTTGGCTCGGCTCGGTGTTTAAGAAAAAAAAAAGGCTTTTGAAACTTGTGGTCATAAAAGCTTAAGGGGAAAAAGCTTTGTGAGATATTTGTGTGGTTATAAAAGCTTTTCATTAAGGGTAACATAGGTAAAATGAAGAGTTTAAAGTTGAATTATTTTCAAATTTAAAAATGTGTTTTAGAATAAATTAAAAAGGAAAGTATCTCGTCTAATTTGAAATGAAGGGAGTAGCAACCAAAACAAGAGTACAAACACCCTTTTTTTGGGAAAAGGGTAAAAATTGCCGCTCAACAAGTGAAAATAGAGCAATTATACCCTCCATTTAATTTTGGTATCAAAAAGTTCTCGCCGCTAATATTTTGACTTAGTGGGCGTTTGGACATAAGAATTGTAAAATTTCAAAAAAAAGAAGTGAAAATGGTATTTGAAATTTAGAGTTGTGTTTGGACATGAATATAATTTTGGGCTGTTTTTGAAGTTTTGTAAGTGATTTGAGTGAAAAATTTGAAAATTAGCTTTTTGGATTTGAAAAATTCTAAAATGCATCTTCAAGTGAAAATTGGAAATTTTATGACCAAACGTTGATTTCGAAAAAAAATGAATTTTTCAGGAAAAAAGTGAAAAATTTCTTATGTCACTGCCCAAAATCAACGGGAGGGTATTTTTTTTATTTTTAAAAAGGCCACGTGGAAAAAAATCACAAGATTTCAGAAAAATTAAAACTTAACCTTCCATTTGTTTTGATTTTTGATACCAAAATCAAAACAGAGGATACAAATATACAATCTCTCTATTTTCAATATGAGGGGCAACTTTTACCTTTTCTGCATCCTAGCCCCTAGGTTTATATCAACCTAGTAAATACATAGGCATGTCACTACTTTAATTGAATTTTATGTCTTTTTTTATGGTCCACAATATTTAATTTTTTCGGATATTAAAAAGGAATTAACCTCTTTTTCTTTAAAGTTGCCCTTGAAGTAAAAAAAAAACTATGAATATTTGTTATATTTTCAATGAACAATTTTTTTTTGTTGGTAATTCACAAATATTATTAATCATCAAAGCAACAAATTACATTGTATAAAGTCCAACTCAGCCGTACATGTATCACTGTTATACTCCTATCCTCAATGACCTATGTAACATGACAATACTATTTCTTTCCTCCCCTATATGAACTTGTGTTGTAAAACATCTTTGAGTATACCAACAGCTCGGATGTTACAGATGTATATTATTTCTCTAACGATGCTTTGTCTATCTCTATGAGTCTTCTCAAAAATTCTATGATTTCTCTCAACCCATATACTGTACAATGTTTCAGCTAGAATCATCCTCAAAAGGTGCCCTTCAACAGATTTTTTCTTTGCTTTTTCCCCAAACCAGCATACTAATTGACTTCATGTCCTTGTTTGCACTTGTATTTGTATCCATCTGAATATATCATCCCATAGTTCCTTGATGACAGTACATTCATAGAACAGATGGGGGTGGTTCTCTGAATGGCACTTACAGAAAACACATGCAGTATCCACATTCATGCTCCATTTGCTCAGTCTGTCAGCAGTCAGCATTCTTTCCTGTATGATCAGCCACATAGAAAATACTGCTTTGGGTCTAGCTAAATTTCTGAACATGATTGCTTTCCATTCAACCTTTGCTAGTGATCCCAATTGCTGCAAGTATATCTGTGGACTTGGTCCTTCAATAGTCAAGATCTTTTGGACCATCCAGCTTGCTTGTGTAACCACTTTGATGTTAGCTATAGGCTGCCCCTTTATATGATACATATGTACCCATTTGATCTATAATCTGTCAGCTTTTGTTGTTAAGTCCCATTGCAGTTTGATTATGGCTGCTCTATTCCATTGTTTGAGATTCAGAATGTTTAGTCCTCCTGCACTCTTGGATTTACATACCTTCTCCCAAGATATCAAGGCTCGTTTGGTTATTACATTTGTCCCTGACCATATGAAACTTCTACAGTATGCTTCAATAGTCTTGATCACCTTGGATGGTATCAGAAACATTTGTGACCAGTACGATTGAACTCCAAACAGAACAACTCTTATAAGTTGAATTCTTCCAGCATATGATAATTTTCTTACAGACCAGGATGATATTCTTGCTATTATTTTATCGATCAAAGGCTGTCATTGAGTCACCTTCATCTTTCTAGCAGTTAGGGGGAACTCCCAAGTATTTGAATGGTAATTCACCTTTGATATATCCCAATTGTTGGAGTATAGCTTCCTATTCAGCATTATCCACACCACCAAAGTACACTGAGCTCTTGTTTAAGTAAGCTTTAAGCCCAGAAGCTGTAGAGAATTGATCAAAACACTATTTTATCATTACCACAGATTGTTTATCACCCCTAGCAAATAATAGTAGTGTCACGACCCAAACCGAAGGGCCGCGACGGGCACCCGGTGCCTTACTCAACCGAGTACCAACATAACATATCTTTCTTATTATACTATCTTGATTAAATGAGCCAGAAACCCGTCATGAGATAATAAGAATAAAACATAAGGGAATACTCAACATATGACGACCCAACATGATATACAAATTTATATATGTGACATACATGCCTATAAGGCCGACATGGCCATTTGTAAACTCAACGCATAGGCCAACAAGGCCGTACAAGTATCCATAAACCTAACATCTGCCTACAAGCCTCTAAGAGTACATAAAATCATAAAGGCCGGGACAGAGCCCCGCCATACCAATCAATACATATCCAAAGCATATTGACCAAATAGGCAACTCCGGAGCAAGTGGAGTTCACCAACACCTCCACTGAGCTGATAGCCTACTCGGAGGAATGTCAACCTATGAGACCTACAGGCATGAAACGCTGCGTCCCCAAGCAAAAGGGATGTCAGTACCAACAAAGTACCGAGTATGTAAGGCAGGAAAGCATAAACAAGAATAGTAATATAAAGAGAGATAGAGGAGATACAACCTGTAACATCTGCGTGCCTCTAGGGGCTACTGATATGAAATGCATAATACATATATATACATAAACTTTAAAAACATACGCCCCAGTAGACATCATCATCATCATCATATCGTACCCGGCCTCAAAGAGGACTAGGTAAAAACGTACCCGGCCATCATAAGGCTCGGTAGAATCATACTCGGCCACGTGGAGCTCGGTAAATCCAACTAATTAGTGGTTGCACAATAGTTGTCGTACCCGGCCTACTATAGCGCGACTCGGTAGAGTAAAATAGATACTATATAATGCATACTAGACTCATGGAATCACGTTCTAAACCTTTTGAAGTGACTTAAGGTCGTTGCACCTTCGATTAACATTATGGACATCATACCATCAATATGAGCTTCTATAGGATTCAAGGATCATATATACTTGCTTAGAATTACTTTATAAGAAAAGAACAACATGGGCAACCTTAGTTTCTAGGAGTAGATCCGTTATGAAATAGCGTATTCATTTCACTTTAGATCATGCCAAAAGAAAGAGGGAAATGCCTTAACATACCTTAACCATGGTGAATCCTTAATACCTCCCAAACTACTCTTCAAACAACTCAACTCAATCTACCATTGCATAAGGAGATTCAAAATCAGTATTGAATAAAGGCTAAGTCTGCAACATAAACTTGTAGTTCGTTTATATAAATTGGGGCAGCATCTCCCCTAAAACAAGAGCCTCTTTCAATACAATATACCAACAACAATTACCAGAGAAATCTAGCAATATGTAATTATCAATAACAAGACACCATAAAACAACAAGTCATAACTATTTTACGACGAGTGACAAGCTCCAATTGGAATTCGTATACCCCATATCATCCCTTATAGACTTTTTACTTTGACTTAATAGTATCATTAGCATGATAATGAATTCATTCATCAATAATTCCAGCCTTATACTATATATCCATAACAAAGAAAATGATCCACAACTCCAATTATTCTTAATTAGCAACTTTATTCACTAGTTCATGTCTAGTTCATCCATTTAACTTAACCAATGCCAAGATAACCTTAAGATCCTGTAGGAAAACAATATAATTACCTCCTACAATGGATGCAAGTTGAAATCCATGTTATATTTAGCTTACAATAGCCCAACACACCCCAATTGATTTATACCAAAAACGACGACTATAGTAGTGTCCAACACCCTGAAAATATTACAAAGATTGACTAATCCATCATTTCGCCATTAAGTGGTGTTTTCCACACAATTTATCTTCCAAAAACTCCATTAAATAGCAGCAAAATATACATCCCAAAAGCT